TGGGAAAGGTGGTGAGTCCCACGGAGCCGAATAGATAGAGATCGCGAGGAACAATGGGCGAAAGATAACGGAATGCGGTTCAAATAAGCATGGCCCGCTACGCACATGTGGAAACTTTGATCTGCGACGTCCGATAATGTTGGTTTCATGTCAATATGATATATCCTAGCTTGGCCGAGATGGGATCCAATGCCGTAGGAGGGGGTTAAAGTTTCCAGCCCAATAAGGTTGGCCTTTGCAGTAGGCGGGACGGTGACCGACGACGGATCCCGAGCGTGGTGGAACCTTCAAGATCGTCAGTCCCATCCCATCCAACAACACTGTACATCATTGTGGTCCAATACGAATCCTTCGAGCAACAACCATTACTTCCGGTAGTAAATCTGGGAATATTGTTAGTATATGCCAGATGTCACGACCTGAGCGACAGAGGGTACTTACTCGTTTAAATTGGAAGTGTAGTTGCAAAATTCCCTACAATCCTGTTAGTCTCTTTCTGACTGATTTGCTTGTTTCTTAGACATACCTTATCAAATGTGCTCTTGAACCCTCTTTCCCTCTTTGCACTGTAATCCCATTCCTTATCGACGATCCGAAAGGCAATGTCCTCGTACGGCGGACCGGCCATAAAGCGAATCAAACAAGTATCCTCCTCCCCAGCCGCTGCAAAGGATTGTCCCCGCTTTCTTCCATGCTCTCGTTCGATGCGGTAGGTCGGTGCTTTTGTCTTGTCGATCAAGTCAGGGTAGAAAATATTGAACTTGTACCCTTGCACAACTTTCGGGGGCGGGTTATCATGGTCATAATGAGTCTGATTGTATTTGTTCCACTCATAACCCATTTGAACACGGTTAAAGTAGCGTGGTTTGCGGGGCCGGTGTTTGCTGGCCCATCCTGGCTGGGAAGTTGTGCTCACAGCTTCCTCACCGGTAAAGATCTCCTCGTTTTCACTGACTCCCTTGGCCAACTCTCGCTCATAGAGCGCCTTGGTTGCCTGCGAGAAGTCTTCGTTAGGAATCGAGGAGAATCGCGTCGAGGCTGTGGCAATTGGAGCGGTCGTTGCTTGATTTATGGGAAGCACCGATGGCTTTTCCGCCTGCCGTTGACGGAGAGGAACATATCCCATCTTCAAAATCTTCTGTCGGTCGCGAGCCTACAAAGAGTCAGTCCCGGCAACGTTGGGCAGTAGTGAGTGTAGCCTACCACTTGGTTAAGGAATGCATCTTCGTCCACTATTTCCAAGACCTTATCTTCCGGTCGGATCTGAAGCAATGGGTCAGGGTCGAGTCCACGATATTCTCCGCTATCGACCGCATCTGAGGCTGCTTGGATAATAGGCGCCAGAGGGGCCAGCTTCGCCTGCACAGACGCAGCTTCTTCAGACTGCTGTTTACGCAATCCTCGAACTCTCTCGTCTATAACGGCTTGGTAGACCTTCTTCAGCTTCGCCCGAGCCTTCCAAACAGTAAGGCTGCGCAAAAGCTCCTCCCAGTAGTCGGTATCGATAGGCTCGTTTGAGTCCAGCTTTTTCCTGACCTGTATCTCAAGTGTTTGTAGCTGTTCGTAAGACTTAGGGCTCAATAATCTGTTTATATCTGCAGCCACAGAGCTAAGCGCACGTCCTTCGGGGGCGGTGGTCTTCTGACGGTCTCGACAAATCACTTTCATGGTCTGCAATAAGGACAGTAGATTAGCCTGTAGCCCGAATGGCATGCTTAACACAAGAACCATACCTTCCAGAAATCCCTATTTTGCGAATTCTTCTCAAGACTTAAGAATGTTTCGATATCCTTTTCCAAGTCGAGTAGCTGGTCGGGGGATAGTCCCTCAAATACACCATCCGGATCTACTACATCGAGCTCCGAGTCCGCAATCTCATCGTCAAGGGGATTCCTCGTTGGATCAATCACCCGTAATGTGACAGTGAGCCAGTCAATCGGCTTTGCTCGACCTTCCTTCACTCTGATCTCTGCCTTCTTTTTCGCCTGCTTGAGAACGAAAATGTCCTCTTGCGCCACCCATTCACGCACTTGCTCGTCTTCCTGAAGCTGGTTGAGCCGGACCTGATCCCTCATGTTCCGAGGTCGGTTTTGTGACGACCGCTCATCTCCATCCCTCCTATCGCGATATCGATCCGTTTCGTCATATCTGCGCGGGGCTTTTTGGGAATGGCGAGAGGAGGGCGATCGAGACCGACTTCGCTTCGAACCCGTGCAATCGGGCATTCGATATGACATTTTGGCGCGTTTTCAATATGCTTTCCGGAAGGCACAAATGTATCGGTGAATAACGAAAAATTAATTGTGAATTATCTCAAAGATGGATGCGAAGAGACCCAGAATCGTGAGGTCTGACATAGTTTCCTCCAAGCTTTCTGGAGAAACGGGTGGTCGCGCGCCAAGAATGGGAGGTATAGCGACCGGCAAAGTTTCCCTAATGGCCACGTGCCCCGAGCGGCTCCATGTGATCCACCGCGGGAGGGAGCCTTGGAGGAGCTTCCCACACCTTTCCATCTAACTACTCTGGAACCACCCATCAAAACACCCGCAAGCGACACTCGAGAGATGTCTGCGAGGTGGGAGAAGTTGCACATATCAAATCGTGCGCCTGCACCACTTCTCCTTTATAGATACACCCTTTTCAGAGATGGATATGAGTTGTACCTGACCGATCTCACGTATATTTGGTCCGAGCGTCCTAACCGCCAGCATATTCTGGGAAGAGCTGTTGAAGATGATGCGACAATTGACCCCAGCCAAGACATAGATCAGTTCAATATTCTTTTGGAGAAACTAGGGGAGGCCCTACGCAATGATCCGGGAACCAGCACGGTGCTAAGGCGTGGACGGGAGAATGATACTCTACACCTGATCACCACAACAAGCCTACCGGCCCCACTTGAGCCTTTGAAATGGAATTTCTATATGGCGAGGGAGAAACAGCGCTTTTCAACTACTCAGCTGCTTATTCCACTGATCAAGTCTGAGGCTTATTTGGAGTTGCGCCAGCGGGATCTAATCGAAGTGGTTAAGAAGAAAGATTGGCTGCTGTCAAAGCTATTCGATAAGCTTGAAGCCGTCGGGTTTGATCTCAGCACTATCTTCCCTAGTATCCCCGGACTCAGGACCAGCCACAAAGGTTCAGCGCAATCACAGGCTGCCAAGTATATCACTGGAGCGAGGCCTTTTGATGAAGAATCCTGGCTCGATGAGAACAACGCGATAACAGCCGAGACTGGATTTGCGTCCTCCATTCTGGAAGAAACAGAAGATTCCAATATTGATGATAATCTTCTGCTACTCGAGGATCTAACGGCGCCGTCAGATGGATGGTGGAGAAAAATGTCCACAGCTAACAATAACACCGAAGACGTAGATGCCAGGACTCCAGAGGACTCGACAAATATGGACACTACGGACGGAGGTTTAGAGACTGAAGATGATTTTGACGATGACGATGACGATGATGAGTTTGAGGTACGTACCTTTCCCACATAATGCATTGCAGTTTATTCACAAGTACATTTCAGCGACAAGAGACCCCTCCGAGACTCAGACGTCAGCCAAACCACCAAACTCCCCCTTCGGGGCCAGATGAAGGAACAGCGACAGAAAGCGAAGACGACCTTGAAGATCGAAATGGGGGACCAAGTACAGCGAGGCCTCGAGCACCACAACTCACTTCCAGAGGCCTTGCAACAATTGGAGGCAACAGAAAGCAACCAACGCAACCAGAATCCCCCCAGACATCACCAGCATCAGCAGATGTCGACGAGAGAGTACCAACTCGCAAGGCTCCCGCACCCCAAGCAGATAGCGACCAAACAGCCTCCGAGACAGACGACGACAACAACAACGACAATCATCCCTCTCCATCACCCTCACCGCCGCCCTCAAACCGTCAAACAAAACCCCGTGGCATAGGAATGATAGGTGGCAAAAAAGCCGAAAAGCAAGCCTCCCCACCATCATCACCGATACCCGAATCCTCCAGTAAACCCCAGACAAAACCCCGCGGGCTAGGCGTCATAGGCGGCAAGGGCAAAGCAAGACAAGCCTCCCCACCATCATCGCCGCCACCAGAAGCCGAATCATCAAGCAAACCCCAGGCCAAGTCCCACGGTCTGGGAGTGATAGGGGGCCGAAAGAGAGAAAATCAACCCACGTCGTCGCCAGCAGCTACGGCAACGCAGTCCTCAGGACCTCCTTCTCCCGCTCCGGCTCTGGATGATCAATCCGTGGAGCCGGAGAAAGAGGAAACGGAAGAGGAGAAAGCGGACAGGAAGCGTGAAGAGCTGAAGAGACAGCTTGAAGCGAAGAGCAAGGCGCCTGTGAAGAAGAAGCGGAAGTTCTAAGCTCTAAGCTTCTTTAGTGCTGGAGCTATCTCTTTACCAGAAGACGGATAGGATGGTGGTTGTCTCTTTAGACAGCAGTTCCAGGGGACGTTCTCGAATAGAATTCGAGTGTTTTCAAAGGCGATGATGACTGTACATACCAAGTCGATCGATCGATCTTGGAGAGAAGGGAAGAGGTCTGGTCAACATTACATATTGTGGCCGGTATGATGGATATAGGGGGATGATTTCTGGACATATTGCCTGCTCGCTGTACATGTTGTTGGGGAGAAAGAGACAGGGAGGCGCTCGCTGTATGTAGGCTTTTCCTAATAGTCTTTTTGAGTAGCTGAGATGGACAAAAAGGTGGAGGAAATCTCATTTTCGTATTGAAACAGCATCTAGTATGTCGCATTGATTCCAAGTAGCACACACACACACACAAACCACCACATCATCAACCACGCGCTATCAGACATACCAAGGGCGCCGCGCAATCTAGACTTCACCCGGAGACGCCAGAACCGACAACGATCGGGTATCTGCAAAAGCGCAAAATAGCAGGCTCAACAAACATAAAGAGAAGAAAAGAAAAGAAAAAAAATAGTCCGGATCCCTTGCAATAAATACATCTAGACAGGGAGAACCAAAAGGTACGTGCCTTGACTTAGCCGCTAAGCCCACTTATGCCTCCAAGACTAGTTCGCGGACCACTTCGACGCGGTTGACCCTGTTCACTGGGCGTTATCAATCGCACCTTCTTGGGTGACATTGTGCTAGTGGAAGCCCCGCTAGGCCCACCACTTGTTGCGGTGGTAGCTGTTGTGGAAGCGCTCCCGGCTGATGCACCGACGCCTAGCATGCCGCGAACTTTCTCGACGGCTCTGCTTTCTCCTTTCGTCCATGTGTCTCTTTTGATGAAGCCTACACCGGCTTTTCGGCCGGCAGTGTCACGTCTCTTCGATTCCTCTAGCAGGATGGAGCGGTTATGTTCGCGACGTGGGCCAGGGCCGCAATCATGCATACATCCTGGAGTAGCGCAACCACCTTCGCTGATGGAGATATCGTTTAACCATGTGCTTATGCAAGCCAAGTGACCCCCGTGGCCGCAGCCTTGGCACCAGGTCCAGAGAGTGGATCCTTTGGGTCGAGGGTGCTGCGATGGATCGGAGAGAAGAGTGTCGAGACGCTGTAATTCACTCTGGGGAATGGGTTCGGTTCTCAGTGAAGAATGTGATGATGAGAGTGCGTGTGATGCGGCCTCGGAGGTCAGCTCTGGAGTTGAATGGGCGGATGCATTGGAGAGCTCTGCAACCCACTCAGGTGGCGGGTCAAGGCTCATGCATATGGCGCATGGCTCCTGGGGAGTGTTACAGCGATGACAACGCGTATTATCGGTCTTTGGGTTTTCGTAAGGACGTTTGCATGTGAAACAAAACACGTTCATGAATGTGTCCCCCTGGGCGTATTCGTAGACTGCTGGGTAAGACGGGACACATAAAAGTCGAAGCTCGGCAGCTTCGATGTACATTGACTGGCGCACCAACTGCTCGTTGTAAGCTCTGAATATGTATTCTGCCTCATCGTCGGGAAGAATCTTCTCGCAGTCCTTGAAAAGAATTCGTAGCTTCTGCAGTAAGTGTGCAGCAGACTGGATGTCCACGTGGTTCCCACTATGGTAGTGTCGAATTGCTTCTTTGAAAAGCATTTCAACGCTCCAGGGCTTGTTCGTTGTCACGTCAGGGCTGACGGGGACAGTCACACCAATCAACTCACTAGTTCCTCCACTGGCTGTCAAGTCGTTCTGCACTGGATCTTCATCTTCTTGACCTGGAGCATTCAGAGGCCGACTCTCTTTCAGAAGAGTAGGGGGACTAGACGGTCGCTCGAGGTGTATATGCTCTGAATCAGGAATACTTTCTAATGTCTCACAACCCTGAGTAGCTTTGTCAATTACAGGAATAGCCCTTGGGACTGACGCCTTGACTTCAGTATAGCTGTTACCAGGCTCTGCAGTAGCCGCTTCCTGGTCAACATCTCCGTCCTCGCGAGCCTCATACAGCTTCGCTGCTGAAGATAACGATGTGGCCATTGATTTGGACGGATGGGAGCTCTCTGTTGAGGCTGAGAACATGGGGAAGCTCTCCGAGGACTCATGCCGGTGGAAACCAGGCGGTTTAATAGGCACCATAGGAGATTCTAATGAGAGAACCTTCTTGGGAAAGGTCCTATAGTCGCGAATAGCTGCTTTCTTGTCCTCCAGTTTCTGGTCGTATTCGTCTACCTCAGAAGTCCCCTTTGAAGCGCCCAAATGCCAATCTGTTCTGCCAGAGATGGCTCGAGGGGCAGATCTTTGGTCTTCCCCGTTATCTTGAAGCACCGGAGCAGGTCCTGGCTCGGAGGGCAGACTGTCAGGTGGGATAGGGGCATCTTCACTTGCATCAGATTGACGATGCTGTAATTGATGGACTGGCTGTGGATCAATATCTGACATCGATGACCAATCATTCGACGTCATGGTGCCCTGATTAGAGCTGAGAACCGACGGTGGAAGAGGCTTCATTTCCGTGTTGTCATTCAAAGATGTCATGTGCGAAGTCGAGCTGTCCAAAGACCCAAGAGGGGAGTCAGGCAATGGCTGCGCGAGAGGCGTCGTCATATTTGACGCGCTTTCAGAGTCTGTTAGTGGAAGCTTCAATGTTTCGTTTTCCACAACCCCCTTGAACATCCTGGTTTTCAATTTGTCCTGTCTCCCATCTTCGACCACCCGTGGTTTCTCAGAAACAGGACCCTCCTTGGATGATTTTTTCTTCATGGTGCGAGGCCCTTTGTCTAAGTTGCGACGCTGCTCTCTAGCTCTGGTCTCGAGCTCTTGGACGACAGCAAATTTGATAATGCGCCAAGTTTGCGCTAGTTTGAGAAGAGAAACGTCCTCCGAGCACTGTGCATTGTGGTCTAGTGATTCGAGCATGGATGAAAACTTATCCATGCGAACAGCATCAGCACCATCGAGCAGAGAAGAGTAATTGGATGCCAAGTATTGAAAGGTATCTCGATCCATTGTAGCGCCCGGAATGCCTCCAACTGCTCCAATCTGGCGTGCCTCGGGAGGTTTCATCTTCGACAAAACCTTCTCTAATGGGAGAATAGGAATGAGATCCCCCACACCAGGCGGGGTACTGCCTAAGGATTTAGACGGCCGAACACTACTCGACTTGCTATGCCGATGGCGGATAGAAGCAAATGAAGTCTCATCGAGAACATCTTCTGCAGGGCTTTGACTCAAAACCTCACCACTGTTGTTCTCTTCATGTTGAGGGCCCACGAACTCAGTGGTGCTGAGACCAAGAGTACTACGTTGGGGACGTTTCTGGGCGAAGGCTAGGACTTCGCCGCTCGGACTCCAAGCCACCGAGCAGGTCGGGCGTTGGTTGATAACCTGAGGAGCGTATCGGATATCAGTTTGAGTGAAGGCCCCAGCTTCACCTACTGTCCATAACAGGTCCTTGGAATGCCAGAGCAAGTCAGTAGCGTGAGCATCATACCGATCGAATTCGCGGAACGGTATGTGTGGCCTGCGAAGATCCCAAAGATGAACTCGCGGATCTTCCTTGTCGTAAGATGTCACTACTTGGGATGACTGCCAATCACCAGAGCCCTCCGGTTCCCTAGCCCACGACGGAGGACGCCATCGGACGTTGAGAACTGCCTGAGGGGTCCGAAATTGGAAGGTTGGCTTCTGTCGGCGTTCAGCAGAAGAAGAAAAATCCCAGACTTTCACTTGTCTATCTGTACCACCGCTGACGATGTGCTTCCCATCAGGATGCCAGTCTACCGAGAAGCACGGGCGGTCATGGGCAGTAATCCGCATCAACGGAGCACTTGACTTGCGGCAGTCCCACAGTTGTATCGCACCGCTGTCTGTTGCAGTTGCGAACATGACCCCGTCGGTTGGCGACCACCTGATATCCCGGACGGCATCACTGTTACCGTGGAACAGATCCAGGCTCCCACACACCAAGACGCCACGTTCCGCAGAAGCTGTCCGCAAGTCCCACATTCGGATGGAAGAATCCTGACTCCCCGATAGAAGCCATGACGCATGGTGCGGGTTGAAGGCTAACCGATGGACCTGGCGGCTGTGGCCCTGGAATCGGCAGCATTCCAAGCCAGTTCGGCGCAGATCATACACCACGATGCGGCCATTGGCCACCGCCGTGGCAATAATCTGGTCATATTCACCATGTGACCACTTGACATCTCTCACAGTCAGCTGGTCTTTATGCCGGGCGGAGAGTCCACTGCCACCATGGTGGGTGGATGAATAACTGATGATAGCATTGCGAAGATTGAATTCCTCGGAAGAATGATCAGGCGAAACGCGAATGGTCTTCAGAATCTCCTTTCCGCCAATGACTGCATGTGTCCGCTGCGGGGAGATATCTAGAGCGGCAATAGGAATACCAGTCTTATGCGTAACAGTTTGGGATGCTCCAGGTCTAGTGGAAATGTTAACAGATCAATTTCTTTTCTTTTTCTTATTTTTTCCCTCCCAGTATTTTGTCTGCAAAGGTTCTCGCAAGAAGAAAGTGGTGCATGATCTAGCATAGAAAGCGCGTGAAAAGGCGGCGAATCGGATGAAACTGGAGGGGAGCCAAATAAAGAAGCAAGGGACAAAGCGGGTAGGGAGGGGGGTCAGCTAGTAGTAAGGAAAACAAAGTGGGTAGCTAATAAAGAGTAATTTATGTAGGTGTGCTAAGGGAGGGGAGAGAAGGAGGGGGAAGGGGGGGGGGAGGAGGAGGAGGAGCAAAGGTGAGCTATACAATGACTTGGACCTTGTTGAACGGGGACCAGCAGACAAATCTGCACGACTTCCCGCCGTGTGCGGGCTAGGAGGTCGAGACCCTGAGAAGAAGGGCTGGGCGAATCTTGCCAGAGCACTGGCCGCGCGGTTGGAATATTTGTGACTTTGTTGCACGGGAGCTGGTGGTGGGGGAGGCGGAGGTGCTGGCGAGGAGCTGCCTCGGGCGGGCAATCGTGAGAAGTCGGACATGATTGCCAGCCTGGAGGTGTGTCAAGAGATCACTCAGCCACAGAACACGTTAACCCGAATGAGATCGGGGCTCCATCCTGGCAAACGAATGGGTTCCGATGACAAGTACAAAACTGTGATAGTTACTGAAAGGAGAAGAAGGAGGTGGTGGTGGTGGGGAAAAGGGAAAAAAAAGAAAAGGAAAGGGGGAGGCGGAGTTTGGGTGAGGTGAGGATGTGGATGTGGATGGGCTGAAGTTCGGTAGTAGTGGTTTGTGTTTGTGATGAGGTTGAACTGGTGACTTTCCAACTCCAATTCCCTCACGGAAAAAGAACGAGTGGGGATGATTTCAGGCAGCCTGCACTATGCGAGTAAACTATGCAGTGGAAATTATGCTACTAGTTTGTAAACTTGAATTTAAAATTATACCACTAATGGGATGTACATGAACTTGAAGATGGTTACCACTAACAATATAGTGATATATATTTGGCATCATAGCCAGCTAAGTACTACCTTGGTCAATTGTTACTAATACTTACTTGCTTCAGTTGATCAAAGCTCTCATGATTCAGATAACTGCAGATCGTAGTTCTACTACAGCTTAAGCTTAGTTCTTTCATTGTACCAAAGCCTCTGTACAATCATGTTCATGAGTAGTATAACCATAATAGTCCATTTCCCGCCTTTGCTTTTGACACCCGATCCAATCCATAATAATCCCGCTTGAACCTCAGTTTCCCATCCGGGCCTTTCCTCCCCGATATAGTCTAGTCCGGTTTCGGAGCTAATGAGTACGCGCTAGTGGGTTATTAGGTAACCCACCCCAGCGTGGCAACACCCCGTGATGTGCAGCTCCTGAGTGGGTTTAGCGTGCCGTATCCTCTCCATCATGGTTCCTAATTTCGTCCATCCTTCCCCCAGAATCAGAAAGTGAGATGCGAGGTCCATGAGCAGAGTCAATTGACAAGCAGTGAATTCCAGGAAAGAAGGGCGAAGAACGTAGAATAAGAAAAAAAAAAGAAAAAAACAAATTAAATTTACAAATCCGATCTGTTCAGCTGATAACTCACAAAGTCAAAAGTAGACTTGTCTAGCCCCTCCCCTCCAAGTAGGGGAGTGTCAAAAGTACAGCATGGGGCCCGTTCAGACAAACATTTAGCTATCTATCGACGCGTTGACGCTAATCAAGTGGTTACCATGGGTAAAGAGCAATCGAATGGTTGGTTTCGGAGAACTGTTCTGGATGAACGGAAGGATGGACGGGTGCAGATTAGGAAAGGCTGGAGGAAATCCGACCTGCATGCAGGTTTCAAGGCGGTGTGTGAATTCATAACGGTGGATGGGTTCGATCGGCTCCAATGACGCTTACTGCTAACCTCACAAAGTTGGGTTAGCTTCTGGCACTTGTTGACAGTACTTGGAGAGGGAGAGGGAGAGAGAGAGGAGAGAGGGAGGGAGAGGTTACTACAGCTAGAGCTGTCGAGGGTTATTTGACCAACCCCCAGCAACGTGCTTAATTTGCAGTGTCCACCTATCGGAAGCTCTACCATGCAACAACAGCAAGAAGTTACTCAAGCCTCATGAAACCGATAGGCAGTGGTAGTCATGTCATGTCTTACTTTTTTTCACTTAAAGGGAGGGTGGAGGGGAGAGGCGCATCCAGGGCCGTACATTCCAGGCGCGGTTTTAGATCATCCGGACACTCGGGACTTGCTGGGTGGGACAAGCTAAAAGACTAGTACCAGGAATGACTCGTCGAAATGGCAATGGCGATGCAGTCTCAACTTGAAGAACATGATCGGTTCCAGCCCTCCCCGCATTGTAGCGACCGACTGCTGGGTCATACAGCGGAGAGGAGGGGGGGAACTTTTTTTGGTCGGGTGATAATAACGGACACCATGATCATGGTGTTGCGTTGCGTTGCCCTTGAAGCAAGAAATTCTCCGCCCTGTTCTCCAAACTAAACGGTCCAAGACTTCTAGTGACTGCTATATACTTTGCCTTTCAGGTTAAATCGGATGGATTTTCTCGCCCACCATGGAGAAAGCGACCGGACCACATTTCCTTTTGAATACCGTCCCTGAAGCTGTCAGCCACCTACGGCACCCAAAGATCATCCCTCCTGCATGATTTTTGAAGGACTCGATCAATCAAAAATGATCCATGTTCATATATACTATACTAACCAAGGGGGACCGGTAAGATCGTGGGAAGGGGCCAGCAGGAGTGATGTGTCCTTCTGTCTCTCACATCTCTCAAGTCTCAGCAGGCCAGCAGCAGCCATTCAAGGAGCTGCTCAGGCATCCCAGCAAACAGCTTTCCAGGGAATCCCCGGACGGCTATTTGCTGTTGCAGGCCAGGCCTTCCATCATTCGTCCGCTGCGGGTTACCTCTCGCATCGATCTGCGCCTCGCCCTCCTCCATCGAGATCTGTCACGACCACACTATCCTTACGCCCTGAGTTTTCCCCCCTCCTGTTGGCCTTTTCCCTTTGTATTTTTTAGTTTACAGTCAGTGTTTACATCTGAGCCCTGAAAAGATCGTCAATCTCTCTTGCTTCTTTCTCCTCTATCGAGGGTTACACAACGATCTCTACCCTTCCACTCACAGGTTGGCTCTCAGCTACCTACTGTACCGAGTATCTACCTGTAGCTGGTGGTAGTATGTACATAGTAACTTTATCGCAGTACGCAGTGGTAGTACTAGTAGCTGTGTGTAAGTAGCAGTATGATCATGTATGTATGCAACAAGTATGTCTCGCTCGAATCATATAGTCTCAAGCCCCAGGAGTTGGGTTCTTGTACCCCACAGTTAGTATAGCTGCTAGTACTCAACAGAGTAGTAAGTCAGTCATTTACTCAGGCTTCCATTCTTTCCTAAATGCTTCTTGAGGGTTCGTGACCGTCGGCGGCCGAATTGTCCTCAAGTCTCGAACCTTCATTCCAACCCCTGTTCCCATTGGGCACGAATCATTTGGTCAAATCCACCCCGACCCGAGAAAATGGCCATGAACAGCGCCTCAGCAGGTACTTACTTCCTACTGGAATTGACAAACAGCTACGTACAACACTGTAGTTTGATCATTCATTTCAGCACACCGTCCTTTTCTCCGCCTTTTGAGAAAAAGACAAAAAAATAAACACATTTAATATTTAATAATTTTTTTTTGTCTACTTTGGGCTGTTTTAGCCACACCTTGCTCCTCGACACGTAACATTTAAGCAATGGTGGGGAGGAACAGCATGCAAAGGAATATGGGGGGAAGAGGGAAAAATAAAAAGAAAAAGGACGAAAATGACGAAAAAGAAAAAGCAAGAGGCATGTAATAAAAACCTCCGATTTTGCATCTGATCATCCTCGAAGAATTTCACCCCCCCCAAAAAATAAAGAAAATGAGATAAAATGGATTAAATAGGAATAAAATAAAAGCAAAGCAAAGCAAACCGACCGTTGAAAGAGAAAAGGAAAGCAAAGAAGAGCGACTGACCGTTCCTATGATTTAAATAAATCATTTGTTTTAATTACAATCCTTCTTCTTCGTACAAACTAAATAAATAAATTGATTTTTATTTTATTTGATTTGATCCCCCTACTCTGGTTCAGCTGGATCCGATTCCTATTTTTCGCCTTCCGAAGCCAACCAAGCTTGGAGTAGCTTTGGGTCCGGCTAGTCTGGGTTCTCGACTGCTGCTTTCGCATCCACACCGTCATTCTTCCTCGACCGTCCAGTTACTATTTGTATCCTCCAACGATCCTTTCCTCTCGCGTGTTGCCTCTTGCTATCTTCTCTTCCTGTCTTTCCCTACCTGCTCTTTTCTTTCTTCCGTCTTTCCCTCCTCCTTCCCTCTCTTCCGCTGGCCTTTCCCCTCCCTGCTGGGGCTTCTTTGTTTTCCCTGCTTGATATCATCTTCCCTGGTGCAAGTCTTTCCCGGATCTTGTTTCTTTTCACTCCTCTCTTATAGTTTCGGGATTAGCCTATCTGTATTCTTCTCCTGTACTTATTGAACAAAACTTTTTTTTTATTTTCTCCCCCTACTCTTCCATTGCCCTTTACTTTTCTACGAGACATTTTTATTTTCTTTTTTTCCTCTTTTCTTATTCCGCCTGTCGTTTTTGGTTAAGAGAGAGACATTTCTCCTCCATTCCTAAGCTTAATAGAAGATCGAAAAAGAGGCTACTCTTCCCACGTGTTTGTCGATCCACCCCCAGTCCATTACAACTTTTGGCTCCTTCGATCGCCAAAAATCTCGGAGCAGCTTTCGCCTCCTACCATCCTATTACAATATATCCCCGTCATCTCACGAGTGTGGACCTGTCGCATCTTGCGGTCTTCGGCGTCAATCTAGAAGAGGAAGGTGGTCGCTAGGTCATGGAAATACCTTAAATGGTCTTCTGATTCTATATCGGCCAATTGGGAGGACTGCACATCATGGGTTACAAACACGCAACTCGCGATATGGTGGCGTATCTGCGCATCGCATCGCCCATTATTCTGCTCCTCATATTTGTCGCCTCCTTCATTGCGAGCTCCATTGTTACGGCTAGAAATGCGAACAAGAACGCCAATGCCGTACATACCGGCCCCGGTGGGCGACCACTCCCCAAACGGTCCCGGAGTACAATGACCGTGATCAGGGCACCGCAAAAGTTCTCAGAACGCACAAAACTGTTGTTCAAGTGGTTGTCTGTCGGCGTACTTCTGACAATCGCCGCGGATGGTGCCCTTAATGTGGCCCATGTTATGATTGCAAGATCGGAACACTGGTGGTGTGGCCAATCAGTGGTGGTAAGTCCTCTGCCTCGCCTCAGCTTTTAGTTCTGACCCAAGCTTGGGTTGGAACCTCAAGAAACGGGAGGGACGTAGTCGCTAATGATACTAGATTTATGTCGTGGGCTCATTCTTCGACTACGCGATCATACTCGTCTCTTTGTTGGATACAAACCCCTCTCCAACCTTCGCCCAATTTATTCCATGGCTAGTGGCGATTCCGATTGAACTGGGTATCCTAGGCACCTCCCTCTCCATCTATTCCGACGTACACCGCGAACCTGTGGTTGGGAACCCTGTTGGTGGTCGTCTGAGACAAGGCATAACGCCGTGGGAGTTAGCGGAGGTAGTTCTGAACTGTGTCCGGGTACTGTTCCTCATGGCTATGGTCATGTCCTACATGTTCAATACGATCAACTTCAACTCCAAAAGGGCCCACGGCCACGTCAATGGGGTCAATGAGACCACGGGATTACTTAACGGCCACCACGCAGAAAATGGGAATGCCTACGGCTCAACGAATGGTCACGCGCAGGCTTCCAAGCCCGCCGATCCGTGGGTTCGCCCGACTACTGTTCCGTCGACTAGTTGGTGGGAGTATCTTAGCGGTTACTCACTATTCTTCCCATACCTATGGCCATCAAAATCTCGTCGGTTGCAGATAGTAGTGGTCATTTGCTTCTTGCTCATTGTACTGCAACGGATCGTCAATGTGCTGGTTCCTTACCAGGCAGGTGTCATCACCAACATGCTCTCCAAGCAAGATGGCGAATTTCGAGTTCCGTGGTTCAACATTTGCCTCTACATTCTCTACCGGTGGTTGCAGGGCAACCAGGGTCTCATCGGTTCTTTGCGGTCTAATCTATGGATACCTGTGAGCCAGTACTCCTACATGGAGCTCTCGACTGCGGCTTTCGAGCACGTACATGGACTGAGTCTCGATTTCCACCTTGGGAAGAAGACGGGTGAGGTGCTATCTGCCCTGAGCAAAGGTAGTTCGATCAACACATTTCTCGAACAAGTCACCTTTCAGGTCGTCCCTATGTTGGTTGACCTCTGTGTTGCGATCGTCTTCTTCCTTGTCTTCCTGGACGCTTATTATGCGCTCGTGGTGACTATCGTCACTTTCTGCTACCTCTACGTCACCGTGCGGATGGCACAATGGCGAGCGGAAATCCGCAGAGAGATGGTCAACAAGTCCCGGCAAGAAGACGCCGTTAAGTAAGTACACAACATTACCGGTTAATACTCAATTTTGTGCAAAGCTTATAGTATGGCTAGGAACGATTCTATGGTCTCCTATGAAACCGTGAAATACTTCAATGCGGAGGACTATGAGTTTGGCAGATACAGAAATGCTGTGTCTGACTTCCAGAAGGCCGAATACCACGTTCTCTTCTCCCTCAATCTGCTGAATACATCGCAGAACACCGTTTTCATGCTAGGTTTGCTGATTGCATGCTTTATCGCGGCTTATCAGGTATCGTTAGGACAGCGGGATGTTGGGCAGTTTGTTTCACTCCTCACATACATGGCCCAATTGCAAGGGCCCTTGAACTTTTTTGGCACCTTCTACCGTTCCATCCAGTCAGCCATGATCAACTCAGAGCGGCTGTTGGAACTGTTCAGGGAACAGCCCACCGTGGTCGATCGACCCAGCGCCAGGCCCCTGCCAGTCTGCAAGGGTGATATCATGTTCGAAAATGTCGAGTTCTCATATGACACCCGGAAACCAGCCTTGAATGGGCTGACGTTCCGCTGCGAGCCTGGGACAACCACAGCTCTGGTGGGTGAGTCAGGCGGAGGAAAATCTACTGTTTTCCGTCTACTCTTCCGGTTCTATAACGCGACGAGGGGCCGTATCCGTGTAGATGGGCACGACGTGGAAAGTATCAAGATCGATTCGCTCCGAAAGCACATCGGAGTTGTGCCGCAGGACACGGTGCTCTTCAACGAGACATTGATGTACAATTTGAAGTATGCCAATCAGGACGCGACGGATGAGGAGGTCTATGAAGCTTGCCGTGCTGCCAGCATCCACGACAAGATCATGTCCTTCCCCGATGGATATAATACTAAGGTCGGTGAGCGCGGTCTCCGACTCAGCGGCGGAGAGAAGCAGCGGGTTGCCATTGCTCGGACCATTCTCAAGAACCCGCGAATTATTCTTCTGGATGAAGCGACTGCTGCGCTGGACACAGAAACCGAGGAGCACATCCAGGGCGCGCTGTCAAGCCTTTCCCGTGGGCGGACGATGCTTGTCATTGCTCATCGACTGAGTACCATTACTACGGCGGACAGAATAGTAGTCTTACATGAAGGCCGAGTGGCTGAAAGTGGCACTCACGATCAATTGCTGGCAATGAAAGGCCGGTATGCCAGCATGTGGCGTAAACAGATTCGTGCCCAGAGGGCCGCTGCGGAAGCCCAAGTGCTTCAAGATCGCGCTCAACGCTTGCGTAGCGCATCTACATCGGGTGCCGCCGATGATAGCTCCAGTCAGTCCGACGAGGACCGGAAGCCGGCCAACAAGCCCGGTGACGATGGCCGCAAAGGACAGGAGACAGCTCGGTGAGCACTCGGTAGGTATAGCTAGCCAACTCCAGACGGAGACGCCTCTGCACCCGCGTTGAACGTTTGTGAATGACGGGGTGGGAGATATAGCATCTTATTGGGTTTGACAGAATCGCCCGGGGCTATCTTCCCCTTGTAAATGCTCCCTTAGGGGCAATTGCATTTCAAGCGACTCACGACTACATGACACATTGTTCACTTGTCATTTTATATCGAACATCAACCTCGCCCCCTTTTTCTTTTTTTCGGTAAGGGACGTACAAAATGGTTGGAACCGTGAATAAAAAATTATTAGACTAGTTGCATTTGACACACGACATCTACGATACTGATCGATAGCATCCGTTAGTATTTAATTCCATAAGATTCTTTTGTGTATCTCCGTCGAACCTTGTAGTATAATAGAACCTTGTTACATTGCTGTGAAGAACGTTTACTATTTGCGGGCGTTCCATTGGCTAATTGCCGCCAGGCCGGGGTTGCATTGCCTGAGGCAGTCAACCTCCGGATTCTCGATTTCCCAAGCTCGGCTGCTCCGCTCTTCATTTCTTCAGACAACGGATACTGCCAACTTCTTCGACTGGCCTCGAGAACCTCACAGGGTCGGAATACTTTACAGTCTTTTCGATACTCTATACTCGCTAGAAGAAAATAGAGACCTTTGCAGTATTACACAACATCGAACGCCTAACAATGCACCCTCCGTCTCCCCAACTCCTCCGCGCCTTGCGCACCTCTATCTCCCCCAACTGCGGCGCCAGCGCAATCTGCACACAACTCGCATCTCGCTCAATCTCCCCTCTCGCTCGGATTACCTCCTCCCCCCTCACTTTCCACCGCTACAACAGCAACGATGCTCGTCCGACCCGGATGATCCCTCGCGCTCACAGCGCAAAGCCCTCCAGCCGAGACCGCGGCCCGCCGTCCAAGGAAGACACCCAGACGGACTTTGGTGCACTCAACGTGCTAGGCAATATCCCCGCCCCGACGACCGCTATCGACGCTACTCTAGATACGGGATTTCATCTGGACAATGGCGTCAAGATCACCGGTGGGAACGGAGTGTTCCTTGTTGGCGGAGAAGCCTTTGTCTGGCGGCCGTGGCAGGGTGCTGAAGCAGGGAAGAACAGTATGGTCAATCAGAAGGGCCAGTTTGAGGTCCCGGAGCATGCGTGGGGAATTTTGGATCTCGTTTGGCCTCGTCCGGGTATGTTTTTGCATTTGTTCCTTCTCTTGGCTACGGGGGTGGTTGTGTGATGGCCTATTGATTTTGGAAATGCGTGGCTAATCTGTGTCTTTTGATGGTGTCTAGATATGTTGATTATTGGTATGGGAGAGACTGTGTTCCCTCTGTCGCCGGAGACTAAGAGACATATCAATTCTCTGGGAGTTCGGGTGGAAGTGTTGGACACGAGGAATGCTGCTGCGCAGTTCAATTTGCTGGCTACGGAGCGAGGTGTATCGGAGATTGCAGCTGCTATGATTCCGATCGGTTGGAAGGGGAGGTAGAGTTTCTTTTTGAGCTGGTGTCTGAGCGGTCATATTAGGGGTTGTTGGACCCTGGATATTATGGGGCTACCCGGTGGCTCACTGTGATATTGGGGGCTACCGTTGCGAATGTTGTTGTTGTTATCTTGGGGAAGTCCTCTCCCTTTTCGAATGTCCCATCCACTCTTGTATGTATGTATAATAGATAATGAGGTTTACTGTCATATTAGCCTAGTGTTATGGTCTAGTGCTGTATAGCATCACTAGTGTCAGGATCCATGTGACGTCGACGGCGATCCCCGGGCGGCGCGATACCCGAAACAGCAAGATAGTGGCCTGGACTAATCGGGGGTTAGCTCAGGCCAACAAGTGCAACCCCGGACGATCTTCCCGCCTGTTACTCACCTCCTCCTGTCCAACCTCCCATCTCTCCTCCCATGTTCTATTCTTCCCCGTTCATCTGATTCTTCCTCTATCCATTCTTAGAGGGCCTCTCACAACACTATGGCGCGTGAAGAGCCTCTCTTGGCCCAGCGCCCCTCGTCCGACCATTCCTCCATTCGGAATGCCGAGGAAGAGGACGCCCTGCTAACCGGGATCCGCACCGACCGTGACCGACGCCGCAGATGGAGCTTCTGGAAAGAGCTCGGCCTCTTCACTTGGGCCCTCATTGCTACAGTAGCTGTCATCGTCCTTTCCGTCGTTTACCAACATGAATCCAATCGAGGTCCAGATCGCTCGAAAGATCCCTGGACGAAGCCCGCTGGCAAACGGAACCTTATCTTCATGGTGTCCGACGGCATGGGCCCCGCTAGTCTGTCCATGACCAGGAGCTACAAACAACTCACACAAGGGCTTCCCGCTGACGATGTCCTTGTCCTGGACAAGCACTTTGTCGGTACCTCCCGTACTCGATCTAGCTCTAGCCTTGTGACGGATTCCGCGGCCGGTGCGACGGCATTCTCGTGTGGTCATAAGAGCTACAACGGCGCCATCTCCGTGCTTCCTGACCATTCGCCGTGTGGCACCGTCCTCGAGGCTGCCTCCTTGGCTGGTTACAAGACAGGGCTGGTAGTGACGACCCGTATCACCGATGCGACACCGGCTTGCTTTGCTTCACATGTGAATCTCCGACAGTACGAAGACCGGATTGCGGAACAGGAAATTGGGGAGCACCCGCTGGGCAGGGTGGTGGATCTTATCATGGGTGGAGGTCGGTGTCACTTCTTGCCCAACTCGACCGATGGAAGCTGTCGGGGCGATGACCGTGACCTTGTCGAGCTGGCGAAGGAGGGTGGATACCATTACATGGATGATCGAGCCGGGTTTGACTCTCTGAATGGAGGCACTGAAGGCAAGCTGCCACTACTGGGGCTCTTTGCGGAAAAAGACATCCCTTTTGAGATCGACCGCCGCAGCCAGAATGACGTGTACCCCTCTCTTGAGGAGATGGCTCGCACCGCCTTGACGATTCTCAGTCAGGCCACCGCCGACAGTGAGCAAGGATTCTTCCTCATGATTGAGGGCTCGCGCATCGACCATGCTGGCCATGGAAACGACCCAGCTGCTCAAGTCAATGAAGTCTTGGCATATGACAAGGCCTTTGCGGCCGTGCTGGAGTTCCTAGAGCAGGACTCGACTCCGGGAGTGGTTGTGAGTACCTCCGACCACGAGACTGGAGGCTTGTCAGTCGCACGTCAGCTACAGCCCGAATACCCCGACTACAAATGGCTTCCCGGTGTCCTCGCCAATGCCAGTCACTCTTCGGAATATGTCAACAAGAAGCTAGTGAACTATCTCGCCACCGAAACAGACGAAGATAAACAGCACAAGTTCGTTCGCAACCTCATTGAGAACGACCTTGGCATCACAGATGTCACGGATGAGGAGATCAACGCCGTTCTCGATCCCAATTACCCATATGACCCCCAGTACGTCTTTGCGGATATTGTCAGCCGCAGGGCTCAAATTGGGTGGTCCACCCACGGACATTCCGGTATGATACCACCAGCTATATTAACCCCTTCGATCACGTACTAATCTCAATACAGGTGTCGATGTCAACATCTACGCCTCCGGAAAACTTGCGTTTCCCCTGGCGGGCAACCACGAGAACACCGAAGTCGGCGACTTCCTGGCCGACTTCCTAGACCTGGACCTCAAGAGCACGACCAAGAAGCTCCTCTCCTCCGACTACTGGACCATGTCTTCCGAAGATAGCCCCTTTGGCTGGCTCGGCGACCCTCTAGGCCAGGATGTCCGAACCGAAGGCCTAGACACCTACCACGGCGAGTTCCGCAAGCGCGGACTCTCCGAACGAGGCTGCAGCTGTGGCGAGAGCCACTGAAGCCGATACACTTGTCACGATTATTTCTATCACGTCTAAATCGTTAATCATGAAATATCCATCTTGCCATTTATACAACAACTCTTGACAAATGATGATTTAAATTAACCAATGTTGCATAATACTTCGGTGAGGGTGTTTGGCGTTATCCACAACCACAAATCAGTTTATATGAACTATCAGAATGCTTTCTTTGGAGCCTTTAATATTTCACTTTCGTCACCTCCGATAGCAAACCGTATAATGCACAATACACGCATAACCAAGTAACTATTATACTACTATTCTCATCACTCCCCCAATATCTCATATCCTACTTAGTAAAATCCCATCCATATCCGTGGACCTCCCCCCCCTACCAACAACAGGCTCACAGCAGTTCTCCCCCCCACCGGCATCCCAAAACAGCAATCCGTCTCTCTCCCTCCGCAAGAAGTTATTTCAATCTGCTGATACAGCATTCTCTCATATGGCTAACTCTGCAGCAGCGAGAAGACATAGTGTCTACATCGGGGGTAGGGTGGATTATTCCGATGTAGATGGTACATTGCTACTGTGTTTTAACCTGGTCCAGTAGTATATTAGGTCTGAGTTAGTCATATTAGAGTGATTGGTAGTTGATTGGTGGGTGATGAGTTGCTTAGGAAGAGCGGGCAATTAGTAGTGGTAGGGTTGGTGATGTTGAGAGAGTGTATTTGTATGTTGTAAAGCCTTTCTTTCTGTCTCAATGGGGAAGAGGGTTGGGGGTTTCCGACGGAGAGGGTGTAGCTACTTGTACGTTGCAACTTGTTCTTCGGTATCATCCGGTAAAATAAAGTGATGTACATTAGTCCTATTTCGGTATTCGCTTGTCTGCCAGACCAAATAACTCATTGGCATTCAGTAATCTACCATGCAAACACCAGACCAGGGAAAGAAAAATAAACACGTCCAACTACCGGGCACCTGATTACCCAGCGGAAAAGGGGTATTAGTATGTGTATTCAAGTCATGTCCATGACAGAGTAAAATCGCAACCACCCAGGCGCAGTCATAAGAACCATAAAGACATCCAATGGGGGTAAAAACATAAAGTACAAGATCCGATCAAAGACGGGCGTTCGGAGCGCCAGGTATAGAACAGTAAAGAGGATTAAGAATGATAACACAAGTCGTAAAGGAGGGGCATGCACCGAGAATCGAGCTATGTGAATAAGAATATCCAAGAAGTGAAGATGATGGTTGCTTGTCGAGTCTCTCCTTAGAGAGCGACCAGAACGACAACTGCGACCAAGGCAGCAAAGAATGAGCCTCTCATGACTCGCTCATTCTGGGAGGGGGCACCGCTCGTGTCGGTGCTACTGCCCTGGCTGAATCCAGAAGAGGTACTTGAGCTGCCACTAGTGGTGCTGCTGGTGCTGCCTGGTACGTTTCCTGAACCTCCCTGGTTCTCAGGAACCGTGCCGTTCGTTCCGGAACTGCTGGAGTCGCTGGCACCGAGATCCATGTCGAGACCGGTGGCGCCAAAAGATGCAAGCACGGTGTCATTGTTGGTGATCTGAACCGATTGCTGTAGCCCGTCCTTGTTGGTGAACATGTACGACTTGTTTCCGTTCGAAACAGTGCCGTTCGGGGCATCGTAGCACTCAACCGTGATGTCGCTGAACGTGGCGTAGTAGTAACCCTTGTCTTTGATGTCCTGGCTGTCCCAATCGATTTCGCCACCAGCCCACTCAATGGTTCCGGGTGCATTGCTGGCTTGGCCGGCGGGCCACAGGGAAAGCTGCATTCTGGATGGGGACTGGGGGTATTGGTAGCGCTGAGCAGTTTCGTTCCAGGTCGATTCCTTGGTGAGAGTCCGCTTGACCTGACCATCCACAGACCAGGTAATCGCATCTTCCTTCCAGTCGATTTCATACTCGTGCCAATCATCGAAGGTATCACTTCCGTTGACGGCATCCTTATCGCCGTTGTTGTCTGCACAAGGCATGTTAGCAGCAGGTTTTGGGAATTGCATTCGGTACGATGTTAGGCTTACAGTTCAGAACACCCTGCCAGTAATAGTTGGTCTGGACATTCGCCAGATCCGCACCAATCCACTCAAAGTCGATCTCGTCCTTGACGTCCGAAAGCAGGATGAAAGCCGTGACGACACCGGCACCACGGCTGCTCTTGACTTTGCCGGAAATCTTGCCATACCAGACGTAGTGGTTGTTCGCAAAGAGGGTACCAACGGTGTTCTTGGGCATAGTGAGGAGAAGATTTCCATCGTCCAACTTGGGGTAGCCGCTGTAGACCCAGTCGTATTCGGACGCATTTCCGAGGTATTTGGTGTTCAGCGCGGCACTATCGAGAGAGTCCCACTTGTAGGTCTTGCTCTGACACACGGGCTCACCAACGCAAGAGTCCAGAGAGTATGACGAAATGGGGTCGCAACCACCCAAGCAGTAAGCACCAGTACCGCACTGTCCATATTCTAAAAGAGTATTAGCGGATGAGATAATACCACATAGGGCTAAATTTGAAAAGGGACCAACGCACGAGAGCAGCAAGGATACTCTTCGGGGCACTGAGAGCTGGTACTGCATGAAGGAGGGGACGAGGCAGCCCAGACGGAAGTGGCGGCCAACGAGGCCAAAAGAATGGAAGAAGTGTACCGCACCATCGTGGCGGACAGGGTTCAGTGAAAGATCTG